AAAAAAAAAAAAAAAAAAAACCAGAAAAACAGGAGCTCAAGCCAAATGCCCTCAGTGTTTTCTTAGCCATGTACAAGCAGATTGTTGTACGGCCCAGCAACCCAATTATACTTTCCAAATGCTATTCCAGAAGAAATGTGTACTTTTGTTGTAGATACACACACACAGCAGCAGCCCCCACCTACTTCTCTTGTTTGCATAGCACGGCATGTGTTCAACACTCGCAACACTGAATCCCCCGATTTTCCTGTCTTCTGCACTCCTTGTCTCCTAAACCTGCCATAAACCACCAATCCCCTCTGCCCCTGTGCACCGCGGTTTCCCCCGCTTTTCAGTCTAACTCCAAATAGGTGCCCCTTACCTTGCTGCCCTGGGGTGTAGATGGGTTTGTCAGTCTGTACAAAGGTGCCACTCCCCTGCCTCTGAATTAGAACCTTTTTCTTCTCCTCAAAGCTGATGTTATTTCCGACTCCGGACACCCGGATTGTGGCCACTTCTTCTGTGCCATCAGCAGGAGGTGGTACCTGGCCAAGAAAGGGGACCTCTGGGGAGGAGTAAGGGACTCGGGGAACAGAATCAGCTGGTCTCAACCCAACAGCGAGTAAAAGGAAAGAGCTGAGTTAGAAGCAGGTAGCAAGGATAGAGACATAAGACAAATTACCAGGAAAAAGAATTAAGGTCAGGCAGGAACTAAAGGGAGAAATCCAAGGTCAAGGAAATTGTGGGTGAGTTATAGCCAGGGACTGAAGTTGAGAAAAGATAGGTTTAGAGGCTGTGGCAAAAGATACCAGGAATTATACCTAAAGTCAGATTATAGTGAGCCTAGGGAAGCGAATAGGCAAGCAAGGGATTCAAGATAGGGCTGAGTCTGTGCTTACGAGAAAGGAGATGCAATGTAAGTGCCTCTTGTTCAATCCAGAGTGTTCTAGCAACTTCTGGGTCTTGTCTTTGGTCTCCAGAGTAACTGTAAATTTAACATCGTAGTACCCAGGGCTCAGATCCAAACACACCTTCTGAACGGAGGGGAAGTTAAGCTGGGCTGGTAATGTCACCAGGTAGTTTCTATTAAAGGAACAGAAAGATTTAGAGCAATAAGGATTCATTCACTTGAGGAAAAATTAAGCACTCTCCTAAGTGCTCAGCATGTAGCAGTGAATTAGACCAAGCCCCTGCCTTCCTTATTCTCCTCATTTTCTACAAGAAGCAGATAAGCAACAACTCAGTTCACAGCCTTAAACCGCCACCATCAGGAGGCCCTCACCCAGAACATATGCCTAGCACACCAAGGAGGAAATTAGGTGTATTTCAGAAAACAGGAGGCCAGGCGTGGTGGCTCATGCCTGTAATCCCAGCACTCTGGGAGGCCAAGGCAGGTGAATCACCTGAGGTCAGGAGTTTGAGACCAGCCTGGCCAACATGGTGAAACTCCATCTCTACCAAAAATATAAAAATTACCTGGGCGTGGTGACACATGCCTGGAATCCCAACTACTTGGGAGACAGAGGCAGTAGAATCCCTTGAACCAGGGAGTTGGAGGTTGCAGTCAGCTGAGATTGCACCACTGCACTCCAGCCTGGTAACCGAGCAAGACTTCATCTCAAAAGAAAAAAAAACCAAAACAAGCCAAAACAAAAACAAACAGGATACATTTTAATATTTATCTTTTTTTTTTTT